GAGAAGGAGACTGAAGAGGATGGTTAGATGAGAGGAGAACCAACTAGGAGTCATCACTGATCTTGGCAAGAGAAGGTTTAGAGGAGTTGTGGGGACAGAAAGGCCAAGGTCTGAATGGGAGATGAGGAAGCAGAGACAGCGGTGCTTAGTTATGTTTTTAGAAGTTTGGCTGAGAAGGGATAGAGAGCTATAGGTCAGGGGCCAGAAGAGAATGCAGGGTCAAGGGCTGGGAATGATGTATGCCTTCTTATACATGTATGTAGTTTTGCATTTTAAGGTTCGTTTTAAGAAGCACCAAGTCACAAATCATTTCGAAGGGCATTATTTTTGAAGTGCATTGCTAACTCTGACTACGTTAGTATATTCTGGATGACTCAATGGCAAAAATTCAATATGGCTTAAAAACCTAAGGGAAAATTTAAAAATATCAGATGATATTAAATATGAGACACTATGACAGACCATTTTCTCTTCCCCATAGATCAAAGTTGGAAAAAAATGAATGGTTAGTAAATACTTTAGTTAATAATTTCCTATTTTTACCTTTAAAACAAAAAGAGGTCTTCCCTCATATGACTTTCCAATAGAGAACATGTGAATGAGCCCTGAGTGAGTATTATTCAGATACTGCATCCAATTTTGAATCTAAAAGCAAATAAATAAAAACCATGTCAGACTCTCTTAATTATAATGCTTTTAGAGAACAAAAGATAACAAAAAGCAACAATAGGTCTCAGAATTCAAAAGAGCATGCATGGAATATAAAACTGATCAAAAACCAATTCTCTATTTTAATTTTCTTCAGGATACTTAAAATTACATTTTCTTTTTTGCTTTTATAAATACTGGCGTCATGTCTTTATATTGTTCTATCTTTAAAGCATACCTTCTACTACCATTTATCATTAATGTCTTGATGGCAGAGTTTTACAGAAAATTAATCAATGTGTTCTGGGTTACTTTTGAAAATCGAAATTTATTTCCATTTCCCCCCAAGTATTTAAGTGGAAATGAAAGAAATTGGCTTCAGGAAAACCATCCAAACTACTTGAAAGTGTTCATTAAAGTCTAATATATTGTAATTTGCCACTGAACAGAAGATGCTAAGAAAAAGGCATTATTTAAAGATATTCTACTGAGCCACATATCAGAGGGCATAGTCTGAATAATTTCTCCAGTAATAGCAATATATTTGCATTGATCCATTCACACTCACTTATCTGTCATCAGGAGAAGGTATATTTGAGATAGATGAATAAGGCACTTAGAAAGATAGGTGACATTTCTGACTTAAAAGCCCTGTGAGGAGTAAGAAAGTCACGCAAAAATGTCCCACTGTTCCATAATGTAAAAGAGTCTGTGCTGAAAAACAGATTTTAGAAAGTACTCATATTTTCTTTTCTTCCTATTCTTTAGTCTAATGAGTGTGTGTATGCACGCACACACACACACACGCATATATGTGTACATAACTATACAGATATTTTAAAATTTACTTTTTGTAGTGCATGTTAATAGTACTTCTATGTGTTAAGCTATCTAAAACCTTTTCTTGTTGCAACATAAAATATGTAGAAATAAGAAAGTTGTTATGATCGGAACCAAAAATCCTTTTTAAAATATACGAATGTAACAGATCTCATTAATTCTATATCTGGCATCACTTTGCTCAATTCAGGGGAAGCATGGAAAATGTATATATGCATTTATTTATTCATTCTGTCATCAACTATCTATTTAGGGTTTCTATTTGCTTGCCACTGGGGATAGAGTGATGGACAAGAAAGAAATGGCCTACCCTCCTGGAACTTGCAGCTTATTAGGAGAGAAAAAATCACTAATCACATAGTCATACATCCATGTGCTATGGGTGCATACAGTAAGCTGGGGTTGGAGGTGGGGTGTGGTGTTCTGATCCAGTCTGGGAGAGTAGAAACAGCTATCTTTTTGCTTAAGCTGAGATTTGAAGAATAACTAGTTGTCGTCCAGGTGAACAGTAAAGGATGGGGTAGTAGGAATGAGGTTGCTGTGTTTTCAGGGTAGAATAAACAACAGCATGTTAATAAACCCAGAGGTGCCACAGATGAGGCATGGCCTTTGGGAAGTCTCAGCTTTACAGAGGGGCTGAGGCAAGAATTTAAGTTCACTTTACCCCTCAACCAAATCATTGCCCTCAAACTCTGGCTGGCTCTACCCTCCATCATCGGGCGCACCAGACTTTTTAGTTACAATTATCACAATATTGCCTCGTTCTTCCAATGTACTTCCTTTATCCTTTGTAGGTGTGGGCAGATGAAATTCAAATTATTTTGCTACTTCTTCTATAGCAGTTAAAGGCTTAACGGAAGTGAGGACTAAACTGAGGGGTCCAGATACTATAAGAGCAATATGTGTTTTTCATATAGTCCCCTGTCTTAGTGCTTTTCTCCTAATCTTTAGATCTAAGTGATAAAGATGCATTTGTAAAAAAAGAAAAGGTCCTTTGATTACATACCTCTTCTAAGGAGTGATAAACTTCATAATTGTATTCAGAGAGGGATCTTCGATTTCTTGGGGGTCGCAAACTGCTTCCCTGTTCCAGTGCTTTCTGGAGATCTTCTATGAGGATCCTGGATTCGAAATGATAGGATGAAAATTAAGTAGAGATAACCTAAAAATCAGGCAATGTCAAAAGACAACCATGAATCTACAAAGGACAGCAAAGATTGACATTTCTAAAAATACCAAATGTTGGAAAAATATTCTCTTTCAGGAAATAAAAACTGTTAAACAGTGTAGTAAATATCAAATGTAAAATTACATGCAGATGTTCCCAAATAATAATAACTACCATTAATTGAGCAGCTACAGGAACTGAATGACGAGTGTGAGCACTTACATTTATGGAGTACCTGCCAGATGTGCTTTATATTTTACACATAAGGTCTTAGGTAATAACCCTATGAGGTAGATTTTATTGTTATCTCCATTTTACAAATAAGGAAACAGGCTCAAAACGCGAAGATCTGGCCAATGTCACTCGGCTAGTAGTAAGTGCATAATCAGATTTTGAACTTGGAATGTGAACCCAAATTCCAGTCTTTAGACTCCAATCCAGTGTGACCTTATGAAAAATGAAACGAGCTCTTTCACTCCTTTGCTCTAGCCTCATTTCCTTTTGTTTCTATTGGTTCCTATCCCTTTCATCACTGAGAGACTTTTCTCAGTTCATCACCAAGCACACGTGACCCAAGATTCAGAGTGAAAAGGAAGAAACAAGCTACAGTCCTCAAGAAGAAACTGAAGAAATACCCAGAGTGGGAAAAAGCAAATCTATATAAGCCACTTAATAAAAATTTCACTGTCTGCCAATATGAAGACTGCCAAGAAAAGACCAGCTCAGCCAATCATAGTGAATGCATTTGGAAATTGAAGGCTGAGGCTAGGGTGAGGGACTCCAAGGTCACTGCAGTGTGTGGAACCAGCTCCAGCTGGAGTCATTAGTGTTCTCGATGAGACATCTGGGCTAGACACATGCCCATCTCCCCAATGCTCACCCATCTCTTCTAACCAGAGCACCGTGAAGTAACAAAGCACTTGCTCTCTTTGAATGCTTAAAGATGTTAAAGAGCCGCTCTGTGATCTTTCTGGGCCTGGCAGGTGGCTAAAATGCTTTGCTTTCATATTTTATCTTCCAAAATAACCTGTTGGTTAATGGTTTAAGTGCTATTAAAAATACATGTAATGGCATCTTTAACTTTCAAGGTTGATCTACATATGCCACTTAATAAAAAAAATTATCTTGAATTACTGAAATAAATACTTTTTGGTCCATGAAGGAAATAGATTTACTTAGGGTCATGCTGGGCATAGGACTTTTGCGTCCCTCATTTGTTATTTACTAGATATTGTACTCATTGTGGCAAATACTTTATCATGGGCTTACTGTTCAATTTTTGACTTTAAAAATATAAACATTAAATATCAAGATAAGGTAGGGGTGACACAAAGTTGGTAAACTCTCTTGGTAGCTACTTGCAATGGCTCAAAATGTGAATGGAATGTTAGATTGTCGGTCTAAACACAATCTGTGTTAGTGCTTTCTTCCCTCAAGGAAAGCAATTATGGATGAAAGAAGGCTTTATGGACTAAAAAACCTTAAAATATCACCAATGTAGGTCTTAAGAACCAAATGAACCTTTATATCAATGTCCAGACTTCCTGTGTTGAGAGAATGCAGGATGGTCAAGAAAGATGCAAGTTTGATTAGGCTGAGCTGGCTTGTCATAAACTGTCCACATATTCCTTTTCCTGCGGGCAATCTTCAGATAGTTTCCTGGGATAGCGAAAAATAGCCAGGAGAAATGGACAGATGGTCTTAGGAAAACCTAAGAAAAAAAATGTCAATAGATTTGCCAGAGCCAGCAATCTACATAAGAATCTCCTCCTGATTTTCAGTTTAAGGAGATAAAACACATAAACATAAAAACTTTCCAAAGGTATAAAAAATTTCAGAATGTTTACAAAGTGGAGCTGTAGTATATTGCTTCTGCAGTATTTCTCAAGTGGACAGATCTTCTAAATATAAACAAGTGCAGATAACTGGTCTTCACACAAGGTACGAGCAGTCCCTCCCATGCATCACCAGAAAGTTTTTAAGTTCTGATGCTGATACATCCGTTTGTTTGGCAGCTCTTGGTAGAATAATCATTGTAAAAAGGGGGTGGGGGGAGAATTAGGACAGAAAGACAGATACATTTAGAGAGAAATAATATGAAAACACGAAGATGGCCACATAGGAGAGAGTCCTGGGCCAGACTCTCCCCTGACAGCCCTCAGAGGGACAAACCCTGCCAACACCTTGAATTCAGACTTCTAGCCTCCAGAATCGTGAAACAATAGATTTGTCTTAAGTAAACCAGCCAGTCTGCGATTCTGTAATACGGCAGCCATAGCAAACTAATGCAGGGTCTCTGTTCAGTAGCTTAGACTGTACCTTAATACAGGCCCTAGGAGACCAACCTGGAAAATTAAAATAATTGTGATGTGGCAGGTCCAGCCCATTTTCCTTGTCAAGTAGTTGACCAGAAGCTAGAAGATTGATGAGCAGGTCAGGAAATGGTGCCGCAAAATGGTTTTTGTAAGTGTTGTATTTTCTTAGTTCTTTACAGCTGATTATCATTTCTGCCCCAATTGTATGCACTCATATAATAATGGTCAGAGCTATTAAGAACTTTACAAAGTGATGTCATCACTTAGTACAAAAGTTTTCGGGCGGGGGAAGAGAGGAGGGCTCAGAATTTGAAATTCCACTACCAATTTTTACAAGTACTTAATTTACAAAATGATAGAAAATTTTAATGGCAGAATAAGTCATCTTATCTGTCATGTCATTAAGAGGAACTGATCACCTAGGGACCAGAAACAGGGGGTCACACTACCTCTGCTTTAAAGATGACGATAGCTGTACATTATGTACAGTTGTATAGAGTAAATGATCATCTTTTGAGAATCCCTAGGATACAATAAAAGTCAATTAAAATGATCTCTACCTATCGACCCTATAGAATTTAATCGACTCTTACGTGTTATTGTCTTGGGACCAACAAAATGAATAATTTTAAATGATTGTTCTTCATGAGGAGACAACCGGTTTAAAACACTCATTTTTTTATGCTCTTTTCCCTGTGACATACAGTGTGATATTTTATTCTCTCTCAGTTTCACATGACCTAGATTTAATGGCAGGAAATAGAGACTTGTTAAAATAACTGGTATATTCTTTTCTACCAAGTAATAATTAATGAAGCATGTGAGCTGTTACTTAGCACCTATAGATATATAATTACCAAGCTCTTTCCTGCAAGGCATTCAGAGAATCAGAGCTACAGCAATGACTAAAATGAGTTCAGTACGAATAGTTTTATGCACAGCTGTGACTACCCTGTTCTAGAAGCACAGATAAAATACCTTATTGCAGAAAGCGTATCGGCACTTTACTAAGGCTGTAATCATCTTTCTGGCAGGAAAGTATGTGTGTGGACCAGGGAGGGATGTCACTGCCACTTTGCACCCTCTGGCCCAGTGCTCCACTTGACTGGGATCTTCGCTGTGGACACACAGAGCACGAGCCCATCCCAGACATCACTGGGGATCTCGTGTCAGTTTGGGCCGTACCAGAACTTGCTAAAAAGTTGTGGTAGTCGATGTTAGTCATTTACATCATGGCTCTCAACCTTCAAATCCTAGGATTCTAAACAAAAGATAAGTCGCCCCCTCCAGTCTCATAAATGCACCACACTGCACCTCCCCCCACAGGTCCTGCACTGACGCCCCAGCTCTCCACCACTTCCTTTTCCCCTGGTACCCACCGGGACCCCTCTTTCATTGTAAATAAGCTTCCTACATCCTCCAGTCTCTTCAGAGAACTCCCTCTTTTCACAGCCTTGCCCCAGCAGAAACTGGACTCTCCTAAGCACACAGATTTTGTGTGTGTCTTTCTCTTCTAATCCACCTCCCATAGGGCCGGAAGGGCTGGAGGTCAGCCTCTTCCTGGACCCCCACCTCCTTCTCCCCCTTCGTCTTCTAACTTCAGGGAAGGCGTACCTTGCCTTCGGCATCATGCCAGTCCCAATAGCTTTCCTCTCACTCCTGAATACTCCCTGAAATTCCTGCCTGGGAACAGTCTCTTCTTCCACCTCTGATCTTGCCATCAGCCACGGAGGACATTTAAGACTGCTGTGATGTGATGATTCTCTGGTGATTCAGCCAACCCATTTTTGACCACAATGATCTCCACTCCACTTCAGCCATCTCTCCTCCATGGCTACCCCTTGAATTTTGTCACCAGACCTAAACGTTCTACCCAGAACTCTTAACAGCCAATAGCCTACACTTTGTCAAAACTTCGTTTCTTCCGGTGTGTTGCCCTCAGTCACACTACACTTGTTTTCAATATGAAGAACTCTATCCCTTCCTCGACCCTTCCATTTTGTCCCATCATTCCTTCTAGACTCTCCTCCTTTCCTACCCAGGTCAGACCCCTTAGATGAGTACTTGAGCTGGTACCTCACTAGGAACCTCAGCTTCTGTGCCGCCTTGACCTTTCTGTGGTGCCGGCCAATAAAATCTCAACTCTGTATCAGGGCTACAGTCTCTCTTCTCTGTAACAACGACTTTTATTGGTTCCTACCCTAGTTGTTGTTGTTTTCTTGTTTTGAAACTCTTCAATACCCGTTTCTTCACTTTCAAGAGAGAATCTTGCTTCTTACTTCATCCAGAAAATGTAGCACTCAGTTATGATCTCTTTCAACCAGACCTGCACTTACCTTCTTCCTGCGGATAAGGTATCCTTCCAACCGCACAAACCCCCTCCTCCACTTGGGCATCTTTACTGCATCATCAACATCTCCTTCCTTACTGGCCCTTGCCCTCAGCCTATGGACAAGCCAAAATTGTCCCCCACCCAGACAAATCTCAAATCTCAAGCAGTCACGGATGCTTCATCTCCCTATTGTCACTTCTCATTCTCTGCTTCTCTCCTTATTCGACCGCCTAAGGGCAGTCGTCTGCTTCGCTGCTCATGTTCTCACCTCCTGTCCACTTCTCTGTCTCCTGCTCCTCACAGTCTAATCCCACCATTAGAGTTACCAGCACAGTTTCTGTCGCCAACTCCAGAGGAAGCTGGTCAGTCCTTTTCCTGTAGCACTTGGGACCCCTGACATCGCCTCTCGAAAGTCTTCCGTTTCTTCTTTGACTCCTGTGACTGTCTTCCACTTGCCCTATTCTTACCGTTCTAACTATTTCTTAAAAACAAACAAACCCCTCAAAATATCCAAATCTGTTGGAATCTGTCTGCTCAGTCACCCACACTAGAAGACTTGGCGTCCCTCTCGACTTCTTCCTCTTCCACCTACGTCCAACCATGCGTGGAGTCCAGGTGGTCTTGCCTTTGAGCTATTTTATTGAATGCTCTCCTGACCCCATTACTCCGGTCGTAACTCGGAGGGCCTCACCGTCTCTTACCTGGACTGTGACCATAGCCTCCGATTGCCCCTCCACCCAGTTACAGGTGGCTGTCTCACTTCCAGCCCCCAGCTGGGCAGCACCACCCACGGGATAAAACCTGAGCTTCTAACATCGGTCTTCCTGCAAACTTTGTCCCCCACCACCACCACCTCTCCAGGATTTTTTCTTCCTGCTCTTCGATTTGCACTTTGTACATTAACAACACTGAACTACATCAGTTCGCCACACACATACCAGGCTGCTTCTTCCCTTGCTTGCGTTGTCTCCTCTGCTTGCAAGATCCCGAGTCTCATCCTTTGCCTAATTGACGGAGCTCCTGCAGAAAGCTTTTTCTGTCTCTGCTTTCCTATCCACTTTCTAGGCTGCTCTCCTTTCCTCACATACGGCAAACCTTCTGTGGTGATGGTGACATAATATGTCAATGTGGTTCCTCTCTCCTCCCCCACCACACTAATAAGCTCATCCAAGGTAAATACAGTTGTGTTATATTCATGTTGGTTTTCCCAATTCAGTAAACAATATCTGAAACATTGTCTTGACACTCTATAAGTAGCCTGTATACAGCTATCATTCGGTTCAATTTAGCACAAATGAATTAAGCAATGAAAAACGCTTACTTGTACAGGATGTTGGCTTCCTGTAAGAAGGCTAACAGGGCTCGGGAGCCATTCTGAGGAACATGGACATCAGTGACTATTCCCTCTGAGACATGGGAGACACTGCTGGGCTGCCACAGATCCACCTGTAGTGCAGGAACCAACCTATAATTCACATTCGATGTAGGTGGGGAAAGATCCATGTCACAATGTCAAACACATTGCTTGCATTCAGAAACACCAAACACATTTTAGAATTAGACTCAATGCTTCCATCATTCGTATAAAACTCCTATTTCATTTTGAACAAATTATATCATGTCCATATCGAATTCAGTCATAACTGATAAGTTTACAGACCAATGCATAAGCCACCAAGTAATGATGAGAAAACATAGTTATCAGTATAATTTTGATATTGTTTAAATGTATTTATTGGATAAATATTTGAATAATAGGAAAAAAGATATAAATTGCCCTTCATCGTACTGTACGAGCGAGTCGTGGTCGCTTGACAATGTTTGGTCACTAAATGGAACAGTCTCCTCCTCTAACACATGCCCTTTGGCTTTCACATGTAGACAGCATCTGCTCAGGGAGGACGTGTCAGCTAGGGTAGGTCACCTTGCTCTGCTTTCATTTCGTAACTTCCCTTTTCCAGAATGTAAGCTCCATGACGGCAAAGGGTTTGTCCAGTTGGTTACCATCCATTCCAATGCCTACAATGGTGCCTTATGCATATTAATAACTCAATCGTTACTTACTGCGTGGGTGTAGACCCCACATAGCAATTCACTGCACGTTCACTGTGTGTTCCGTGTTTTGCAGGAAAGCAGGAAGCATGTCTGTTTGGCTTACTGTAGTGGCCCCAGTGCCTTGTCTGCATCTGGCAGGAGCTCCATGTTCATGGAGAGAATGACTGAACTCAGCTGGGAGGGAGGCGCACCCCAGCTATAGTACAAGCCTAGAGCTACATCTTCAATAAGGTGCAGTCTGTCTGTACAGTCCTGTCTGTCTGCTCAGGACTACCTCTGCCTGCATTTTCGGTCTGGGTTTGTTGCACAATCTTGATCTCTGCTAAACCCTTATCTGATAAGGTTGAATTACTTTATATCCACTTAGGTGTCAGTGTCTGCATTCTGTTAAGAATTCTAGAAGACTAAACTTATTTTGTGGCTCAAGGGAAAATACATCTCTACTGGTATAATTTAATTTGGAACAGGGTAGAGAGGCATTTATTTTGGGGACAAAGAGTCTACCTGTTTTTTTTTTTTTTTCAAGCAGCCTACTCCTCCATTAACTTGCAAGGGCAAGTCTGACTCAGCTGACATGCTAGTCCAACAATCATAGAAAAACAGAAGTGTGGGGCTGGAGGGGATGCTGAGAGATCATTTGATCCATCTGTCAGCCCTTGGGCAAGGGTGCATCTAGGATCGAATCAAACTGTCCCCAATAGATGCAACTAAACCACATCTTTTAAGTCTCTAAAAAAGGAGAGTTGACAACATACTAATGTAACTCATATCCTCATTTAACAAGAGCGCAGGCATTTTTCTTAATCTCTTACACTGCGGCATAGTTTCCTTTTTTTGTTCTATTCTTTAGTGAGGAATGGCTGGTTTCTTGACTTTGTAAGATAAAGCATGTTGATATCTTTCACCTGTTTTTATATGTTAGCTATTTCTACTCCTTTAATCATCTTTGTGACTTGTCTCTAAACCCCTTAGTTTTCTTTTTCTGATTGCTTATTTCATCAAAATTTTAATTTTTTGACTATAGCTGACTTATATTTTATTAGTTTCAGGTGTAGAATATAGTGATTAGTCATTTATATAACTTATGAAGTGATCCCCCTGATAAGTCTAATACCCATCTGACACCATATATCGTTATTACAATATTATCGACAATATTCTCTATGATTCACAGCCAAACTTAGTAATATTGTTCTGTACTTTACATCCCTGTGACTGTTTTTGTAACTAGCAATTTGTACATCTTAATCCCTTCCCCTTTTCACCCTTTCCCTGATCCTCCTCCCATCTGGCAACTGTCAATTTTCTCTATAGAGATGAATCTTTGATACTAAGGTTTGCTGTCATCCTTTAATGACAGTGGAGATGAGGAAATAGTGCCATCTTCATAGGGTAAAGAGCCACAGGAATTTAATATAATAGGAATAATCACTCTGGAGATGAGTCTGTGTTATTTTCTGGAGTACAAGCTAAAATAGGAATCCTCACCCCACAGAAGAGTAGCTTCCCCACATGAAAATTCCATGAAAGTGACAAGCCCTGCGGCATGACCTGGAGGGGCCTCCTGAAAACCCAGCACATCGTCAGGAGCAGTGGTCTAAAGGAAACCAGCAAAAAAGAGATTGCAAAATCAGGAGCTGTATTTTGTTATAATATTAGGAAAGTAAGTTAAAATGAATTATCAGCTTTTCTCCAGTAATTCTTTGGGAAAAAGAGTGTTATTCAAGTCCAGGTGACAGGCATATGATATAGGGGACAGTACTATTTCATGTGAGATTTGTAAAGTGCCACCCGTCTTACATTTCTTTTCAGTAACACGTTGAGATAGGAGTTAATTGTAGATACATGTAGAAATGAGAAAACTCAGGTTCATGAAGGTCAAGTCTCTTGAAGGATGCACAGCTACAAAGGGGTGACATAGGTTATGCTTAAATCCAGTGCCCATAATTCACTAACTGGATCTTCTGAGAATACCCCAGAAGAACAGGCAACTTCCAACTTCCTGACTTAGTGTCTCAGGGGGTCTGGTTGGTGGGTCTCACACCCTTGCCATCAGGGGTTATTTACCTTATAAATTAATATGTATGTATTTCAAAGTTCCAATCAAGCCCACTGTGTGCGGGTTACCTATCATTTCCATAGGGCTCGATCACATCTGGATGAAGTCATAAACAGTCTCTGAACTGCAAAGCTGGGTGACCCTGGATCAGGATGACAGCAAAGTATCCGCAACCCTTCAGGATGCCTGAGACTGTTTGCCGGCCATCACAGGTCTCTGCTGCAAACAGCCACCTGATGTTCAAGGAAAGGATGCTCCTTTGTTAGACCTTCTGGCCTTGGAACCAGGTGGTTGCTCCCACACGTTCCTTTTTTATGGTTACCTGTCACATAGAGTCACATCTATTTAAGAGGTGGAGGCAGTTCAGATTAAAGGCCAGGAGTATGGATTTTGGAATCCAACAACCCTGAGCTGGAATGCTAGCCCTGGCAGCATCGACTGCGTGAACTTGGGGGAGGTTTTAGCATTTCTGAGCCCCAGTTTCCTCATCTGTCCTATGAAGATAATTAAAAAAAACCTACCTGCAGGCTTTTATATAGGATAAACCAGAATAATAGAAATAGCAGAGAGTCTGGCACACACTGAAAGCTAATGAATGTTAGCTATCTGTTGTTTATTTTTTGAAAAGTATATGAAAAGAAGAACTAGAAACAGTAAGGATAAATTTCTACTTCACATGTTTCCAGTTGAGATAAAGAATATGGTGAGATTGTCCCCTTGTTCAGAGAGTAAAACCCATCGAAGGCTTTAAGAAAGGTGGGGAAGCAATAAATATGCCAAGAATATGAACAAAGCTGGACAGTTTCCTAGTACAAAAGCATATAGCTGGATTTGAAGTCGCTCTACCATGGCAGTTAATTCCCTGAACTCTGAAGTCGGGCTCTCTAGAATTCGAGCCAGGCCCCTCATTCAGCATCTGTGTGATGTGGGGCAAGTTCCTTAACCTCTCTGGGCCTCGCTTTCTTCATCCGTGAAATGAAGGTGATAATTAGACTTTCTTGTTAACTTTTTATAATGGTAGAAGTTGTTATTATTATTATTACAGAGATTATAGAAAATGCAATGGTTAAGAACGTGAATTCCAGAACCAGACAGGCTGAGTTTGCTCTCTACCACTATTAGCTCTGTGACTTTGGGCAATTTGCTTTAGATCTCTTCAATTTCCTCATTTACAAAATGGGGTTATGAATAGTATATTTTTCATAGATTTGTTAGGCCTATATTAATTAGTATATGCAAAGTGCTTAAAACAGTACCTGGTGACTAGGAGGCATTCATTAAATAATAAATGATTCAAAATTCAAAACTAATTTCTTGCAATTTAAAAAAATCGTAGTTCAATCTGGCACTAATTTCATGGCTTTCCTGGTTCTTGTGCTGTATTCTCTCATTGGCCTGGTCCAGCCTCCATGAAGCACCCACCTGCCTTTTAGGCCAATGGCTGATTATACACCTTGTTCGGGCATCCCTGGAGGGGTGGTCATGTCCTCCAGCAGCTTTGGGGTGAGTCCCATATGTGGATATGGGAAGACATCTGAAGTGTTCCATCAGCTTGGTAACAGATGGCCTGCCTCCCCACTGCCCAAAGTAACAGAAGCAAGGGAGAGGACAGTCCTGTTCTATATTTACTCATTTTTTTTGTTGAGTTGAAAAAGTCTTCGTACCACATGACAGGTTTCTGGGTAAGAAAACTTGATATTAAGTTTATTGTCAACTACTGCTTGATTTAATTTACATAATCATAATTCACATATTAGCAAATACAAAATTTTAATGCACTGCAAAGTCCCCTCTCATTTACTCTTAAAATTGTCTTTTTGATCTGGACTCATTGAACCTTCTAGAATCTTCTTTTAGAATCTTCATCTATAAACTCTCAGGAGGCTTCTCTGACTACCAAGTTTAGGTCGATTACCTATGTTATCTGCTTCCGTAGAAACTTTAGTTATATCTCATTTGTATGGTTGTTATATTGGTTTCCTAGGGTTGCCATGACAAATTGCAACAAACTAGATGGCTTAAAGCAAAAGAGATTTATTCTCTCACAGTTCTAGAGGTCAGAAGTCTAAAATGGAGTGTCCACAGGGCCGTGCTCCCTCTGAAGCCTCTAGAGGAGGACCCTTCCCTGTGTCCTCCAGCTTCTGGTGGCTTCAGGTATTCCTTGGCTTGTGGCTGTATCACTCCCATCTCTGCCTTCGTCCTTGCCTGGCTTTCTCCTCAGTGTCTGTGTCCCTTTCCTTTCTCTCCCAGACTGCCTCACAGCATGTCTAGGTTCCTAATTCTAGTTTCTCTTACAAGAAATCGATAAGGTGGTTCACTTAAATTTTGTCCA